GGGTTCTCCCATTTCCCCGATTATTGCAAATATATTCATGGAACACTTCGAGAACGAAGTATTGAAGTCAGCACCTCAGAAACCTACTGTATGATTCAGGTATGTGGACGATACCTGTCATCACATGACAAAGACATGTGATGTGTACATGGAAAGACTGCTCTAACTGNAAGGAGAGAATAGCGGCGGCTAAGAAGAACCTGGCCCGTCTCTCCAGACAGCTTCTCGATCTCCACCTTCTTCGGGCTCAGACGTTGGAGTCTCAGCTGTGGGAGACTCTCGATCANTGAGCAGAAATCGGGAGCGGCAATGGGTTCTCCCATTTCCCCGATTATTGCAAATATATTCATGGAACACTTCGAGAACGAAGTATTGAAGTCAGCACCTCAGAAACCTACTGTATGATTCAGGTATGTGGACGATACCTGTCATCACATGACAAAGACATGTGATGTGTACATGGAAAGACTGCTCTAACTGAATTCCTAGAGTTCTTGAATACTCAGCACGTGAGCATCAAGTTCACTATGGAAATTGAACAAGATAGATGTCTTCCATTCCTAGATGACCTGGTTCAGCGCAACGAGGACGGTACTCTAGGCCACCAAGTATATCGCAAGCCCACCCATACAGATAGGTATCCCAATGCTACCTCCCATCACCACCCCTCCCAGAAGAATTCCGTTATTAGCTCTCTAATGTATAGAGCACTGACAATCTCTCAACCCTCCAACGTTGACAGTGAAGTTGAACATCTTGAGTTAGCTCTGACCAAGAATGGATATAACATCCAACAAATTCGGAAGATCAAGCAGAAGCTACAGAGGAAGCTCTCATCTCCCGAAGTGGAGACTAATCCTGAGGAAAACCAGGAAAGACCAAAAGTGGCCCTCCTCCCCTATCTGAGAGGCACAACAGAACGCATAAGTAGAGTACTTGGCAAACATAACATTCGAACGATCTTCCAGCCTCCAAAGAAGATCGGACAGATGCTGCCAAGTGCAAAGGATCCAAGACCACCTCTGAGCACACCAGGAGTGTACAAGATCCCCTGCTCATGCGGGAAAGTGTACATTGGAGAAACCGGGAGGAAGATCAGTACACGAATCAAGGAACACCAGCGGTGCTCCAAATACGGTCACTTAGAACAGTCTGCCCTGGCTGAACCCTGAATGGACACTGGACATACTATCCAGTACGACCAAGCCAGAATGTTGGCCAAATCTCAAGGGTATTTCAAAAGGAAATACCGAGAGGGTTTGGAGATCCATAAAAACCCTAACAACCTCAACAGGGACAGAGG